ATGGATGAATCCCAGTTAACCCTGCACAGGGCAGATGACAGACAGCGTGTATGGTATCGTGTGGGTGAGCTGTTTGCCGATGTCAACGTTGTGGATCGAGTGGCCCATGGTGGCGCTGGGGTTATGGTATGGACAGGCGTATGTTATGGACAACGAACACATGTGCATTTTATTGATGGCATTTTTAATGCACAGATATACCGTGATGAGATCCCGAGGCCCATTGTTGTGCCATTCATCCATGACCATCAGCATCTGTACACAATTCCTGGAAGCTGGAAACATATCAGTTCTTGCATGGCCAGCATACTCACCAGACATGTCACCCATTGAGCAAGTTTGGGATGCTCTGGATTGGCGTGTACGACAGCGTGTTCCAGGTCCTGCCAATATCCAACAACTTAACACAGCCATTGAAGAGGAGTGGAACAACATTCCACAGGCCACAATCAACAACCTGACCAACTCTATGCGAAGGAGATGTGTTGCAATGCTTGAGGCAAATGGTGGTCACACGAGATACGGACTGGTTTTTGAATCCCCGCACACCCTCCCGGATCCCCCCAATACAGTAAAACTGCACATTTTAGAGTGGCCTTGTAGTGTGGCCAGCCTAAGGCACACATGTGCAATAATCATGCTGTCTAATCAGCATCTTGATATGCCACTCCTGTGAGGTGGATGGATTATCTCGGCAAAGGAGAAGTGCTCACTAACACAGATTTAGACAGATTTGTGAACAATATTTGAGAGAAATAGGCTTTTGTGTACATAGAAAAAGTCTGAGATCTTTGGGTTCAGCTCATGAAAAATTAGGGTAAAAACAAAAGCGTTGCATTTATAATTATGTTCAGTGTATGTATACATTTTGCAGCACTCTGATTGGTCCATTTTCAGCTCTTTTGTGTTTGTCTGATTGGGTACCCAAATTGGAACATCGGGACTGAAATACTGCCAAGCCAAAATGAATATTTGTCCAAAATTCAAAATGTAACATTTTCTGAAAAAATTGTTTGGTCGAGCCAAATGTTCTCATCATTCACAAGTCTATTAAGACACAATATGGATTTGAGCAGATTAAGGTATGTGACATTAAGCTGTCATTGTGGGTAATGAGGCAAAGCCTGTTATAGCCTCCCATATTTATTGATCATTGTGACAAGGCCATTTACAACACATCTATGAAGATTATGTTAATATTGATATTGAATTTCTTTTTTTGTGCCAGAAGATATGTCTGTTTGTGGATTTTGTTTTAAAAAAAATAATCAATTAATGCATAATAATAACCTCTACATTAAATGCCACTTGACACTTGTCCCTGTTTACCAAGAATACGTCAGATAGATCTGGCATGAAGTAAAATCAAATAGAGTAAATGTCCTTCTGCTAATGTCCCTGTTTTTTCTTATTGTTTCTAGTTAACACTACACTGCGTGACTTTCAGTCTTCTTATGTGGTCATTGAATAATTAATAACCTCTTTAAGAATTTACACCCTAGCAGGTAGGTGTGTAACCGAGCAGTGGGGGGGCGAGGGGGGTGCTGTCACCTTTGATAATCATTTCCTTGTTAAAATAGAACAATTTGTGCACCTAAATATATGTAAACCACAAAAGGGGGAATCATTTTGTTAAATTAGCATTTAAATGTAAGAATTGTAACAGTGTGCATGGTCCTGACAACATATTAGATCAAACTGCTTTCAGTGAATCACATTAGGCTGTAAGATAGGGCAGGATTCGTTGGCACCATATAGAATATAAATAAAATATATACAGGCCATCAGACTATAAATGGGAGGCATCTCACCCTTTCTTGGTTGAAAGTCAGAGAGAGATGCTATAATTCGTTACATTTCATACTCTATCATCAGTTGTAATTATTTATTGAGTTATTGAACAGTTTTTTTATATCGGGCTCTTATCCACAGAGTGCGTTACAAAATGTTAGCAATTTATCACTGTAGGGTATTCCTACAGACAGAGGCCTATATAATTACACATATCAACATAAAAGGAGTAGAGCATTAATTCACTGTATAGTAAAGTTAATTAAACTGCTAGCAAAGTGTCTTTTTTTTAGGATGTTTGCAAATGCCTGAGGTGTGTGGAAAGGCACAAGGCCAAATATAACAGAAAATTATCTCTTAGAGATTCTTTGATGCACCGGAGCAGGTGTTCGTGTTTACACTCACCAATTGGTGGCACATTTGTTGGCTCACGTCTGTCTTAGAACCATTCACTTTATATTTTCCATGATAGTTTAGCTTTAGACGACAACAATATCAAAACAACAATCCATATCTTTATCTAGCTTGGCTTCAAACATAGTTTAACAAAAATCATAGTCCATGTTGTTTTCAAGTTTCTGAACCACGTAGCCTTTTTTTCGTGTACAGAGTGTTATTAGTCCTGTTTATTCATTGTCTCAAGTATATTCAACAAGGGAGAAAAAAATTGTAGGACTCTTAACTGGTCTTTATCTTGGCTTATTTTTGGTCTTGTGTATTGCTGAAAGTCAAAGTCCAGGACATACTCAATTCAACAAAGAGGAAGAGACTCAAAGCTTGTGCCTATCTCTCGAGCAGATGCTTAATGTTCAATATATCTTGGTATTTTACAAGATTTAGGAGCATGTATTTTTGAGGTACACTCAGTGTTCTTTGTTGCATCACCCTCTGGAGAGTGCCATACTCAATTATAGCCTTATTTTTGTAATCCCGTAGTGACCTCTACAGTTACTGTCATAGCCAGACCAGATATTAATCATAAACAACATATAGAATCCTGCATACTTACACAATAAACACAGATCAAAAATCACATAGTTACAGTACGTCATGAGCATACATTGCATAAGCCTGCCACAATGCCAATGTACCCCCATTCTTGGCAGGTTCTACTCTAGCAACCTAATGCCTGCTCTTATGGGATTAACCCAATTAAAGGGGGGCATCAGGTATTTAATAACGTTGTTTGGGACGTGATTGTCCTTTACCCATCAATCGGCCTAGATAAAATTAACAGCAGATACCTGGATCGAGAACACACACTTATTATTAACCAAGTTACAATATAACAATCATTTTTTTGTATATGTCCTTTGCGTATAGTCCTTACAAGTACGAAATGCTTTGAGGTCTTGTTATACAGGATTTGGTCGCCTAATCAATAATTTAGCTAATTTCCCAGGAGAACATTTCCTTTTTGTAAATGCCATATGTCTATTTGAATGATTTTTTATGCAAGTGTCATTTTCATTGATATTTGTCATTAACCACACTTTTGTTGACATGAAAATACCGTGTAATCTGTCACTATAATTGGACGTCTGATTGTCACCTAGAGTCATACACGTAAAGCCAACCTAGAGTGTCAATAAAAGAATGTGTATTTAAAAAAAAATTTATATGTTGTTGTTTTTTCCAGTTTAGACAATTGAAAACCGTTTGTTCCAAAATGCATGAACAAGTTATGGGATAAAAATTACAATCTACTGAAAAAATAGCCCAACGTGTAGGACATCAAATTATTGACCAAGTGGACATTCCTTTGCTCAACATTCAGAGAAGAAGCATCCATAAGACTTGGTGATCTGATTCAATATTCTGTTACTGTAGCTAACAGGATGAAAACCTCAATAGGATGGAGTGCTGTTTCATTTCACGGACTATATTATCCATCGTAAATGTATAATATGGTAAATAATAATCTTTCTACCATTACAAAAATATTATATGTAAGAAATTGTGGATTTTGTGCAGGACAGATATAAATATCTGATAGTAAATATCTTATAGTGACAACTATTATAATGTACAGGCTTGTTTAAAATACAATTTATGGTTACTTTCAGAAGAACCTGTTCTTTATTTTAAAATAAAAATATTCAATTTATATTAACTATCATTTGTTGAGAAAATAAAGATTGTAATATACATTCATATTTCAGGTTATTAAAACAAACTATTTTAATTAAAAGGGGGTTGTGCTTAATCTTACAAGTCCTAATTAAATAAAAAATAGTGTCCAGAATGTGCAAAATAAGACAAAAATTGTTTTTATTTACTATAAATATATATTTTTAAGTTTCATATGTTTTGCTTTAAGGGACAAAAATAAAACCAGTTAATTGGGAGATTTCACTATGTATATCTGGAGCCCCTTAACTTGCAGTATACCTTTCCCAGACTTTGGATCAGAATCATAGAATTCAGACATCAAGCTGCGGAAAAGGCTTGTTTTTTGCCTACAGTAGCATCTGGCTTCTTGGCAAATAGTCTAGTTGTACTGGCAAATTTTGGAGCCACTCGTGATTTTTCAAATGGTTTTACAGAAGCAAGAGCTCAGTGCCGGCATATGTACGGTTGTCCCTTTTTTATCCCAAAGTCTGAACTGGCCGTCTTTGTGAACATTCTTTCATATTATCAACATATTAACTCATGGTAACCAGCGTATAAAGAGATACAAAGGTAATATAGAAAAATTCAATGAAAAGGAACTTCAAATGTATTTTCACTTTTACTTTTATTTATTTTTTTACATGGAGAACAAAACATCTTGATATATAATCAGATAGATACCGGAAAACATGAAATTACATTATTTTATATGTTTGATCGATTAAATTCTGTATCTTCAAAGAACCATAGAGAGGTATAATGAAGCAAATGACTAGCGCAATGGCCACACATATTCATTTGATTTGGAATTCCGAGTTCCCCATGTGACGCCAAAATAAAGAAATGATCGATGGGATGATTGATACCCACTAAATGTTGATTTTTTCACAGATTGAATATTTGATTCAAAACCACAAATTTCATTCCAATTATTTTATGGACCAAAATGCAAGAAAATTTATATTAGTAACATCCCGAAAGTGTAAATATAATTTTCCACTGAATTAGATGTCCTTCATCACAAAACTATTCCAGTACCAACGTAGACCAAATCAGTTACAATACATCTGTTATTCCGGTTACCTTTATTCTGGAAAAGTTACACACCACAAATTTTCATACAAGGTTATTTATAATGGGGGGGTATTAGAGTCACAGGAGCAGTAGTGATGAGGACACAGTGACAAATATGAATGATTACACTATTTGGGCAAGATTAATTGATTTAAAAGAATTCACATTTTGTAAAGGAAGGTAATTACCCTCTATATCTTAATTTGTGTGACAGCAGCCCATACCATGCATGATATGAAAGATACATTCTATCTAGCCATTTGATTCAACCTCAAGAATGCAGGGTAGCTCGTAGTTACCTAAAAATGCATTGGCATATCCTGCAATCTACAGATGGATACAAAAAGCTCTGATGGCACTTGACAATTGTCCTTACACTGTAACCAGTACAACTTATCTGTGGCAGTCATACGTTGAGTAATACCAGGTTCAAAACAGCCACAATTAATGTATCAAGCAGAGTATACATACCTAGTTTGAACTCTGCCCGTTTTGCACCCTGTTGAGAGACATGAGCAAGTTATAGATGGCAACATGAGGAGCAGATAGTGAGTAAGAAATGGGGTAAGATATTATATAGAGGGGGAACCTCAAGATCCAATGAGGAAGAAAGTCACAAATAGAACAAGGAACTACAATGTTGAAAAATGTAACATCAAACTATTGTCACAAACATTCTTGGGGGCTGTCATACCCGACTGATCACAAGAAAAGTTAACCTTAATAAACCTTATTAAAATGATTCAACATGAAATTTCTCCATGTCTTTCAATAAACCTGTTTGCAAACTAATTAACTCCTAACACATAATCCTGCACAGTGATGTGCTCAACACGGTTTAAGTTCAGACACATGAGCAGGGCAAGAATTTGGGGATTTTGTTTTTTCAGAAAAATATAAAACAAATAAATATACAGAATCTGAGTACGTATGACCGAAAGCAGTGAGAAAATGTCAAATATTAAAATACATCATACTTCCTTCCTATATGTTGAGGAGCTTTTTAGTCTAATGATGAAGAAGTACTAAGACAACCATGTAATGTGTAAACCACGAGCTTGGAATGCTAGGTTGGGTGGGGAAGTACTACTTACAGAAACATTCTATTGGTTTCCATGGTAATTGTTCTTTATTAAACTCTTTGCTCCATCATTGCCTTGGTATATATATTTTTAGGATAATTCAGTAACGGAACTTACTGTCAGCACCTACATAATGTCCTCTCATGTCCGATTATCATAAATTCTGACAGTCCTCTGCAAATCCACACTGCAGAGCTCTGGACTCAATGCCACTCCGCTCACCCCGGTGACTTGTAATGGAGACACCCTCTGTAATACAGAGCATTATCCAACTACTTACCTTTTCTTATTGCATAGAGGCGTTTGGTCAATAGGGTTTTCCTCTTTTCAACCCCTGATTGTGTCCACCTGGATCCTGCCACCTTCTTACCTCCTCCTGCTCCAATTTCCCACTCACCAAGCGACAAGTCTCGTGTGCACCACACCAACATTTATAGAGAAGGTCCCTTATTGGGAGGAAACACGTCAGACCGATTTGTATTTACTTTTATTACAAGTTGATTTTCTTCCATTCATCCCACTTTGGTTCCTGTCTTTCCTCCTATCACTTACTACTCACTCAAAGGAATGTAGGGAGGAGTGTTTGGCCCGCCATCATTCTGGAGGAGGCACCCTGGAATCTTTTAAAACATCTCTATGTTGTGAGTTTCTCCCTTATCAAGCGCATACAATTTTTTATTTACTGTATTACTCGCTTAGGTTTTACTTTGTCACAGGTTCAACTGGTTCTCCATATATCAGAGAAATGTATTGTTCTCTCACTTCAAACATCGCAAATATTGCCCTGCATTTCATGCAATAATAATCCTATAAACTGGACCAGTTTTACCTCTACCTATCATCTCTTTCGTTCCCTCAATAAATTCCTAGCTCCCCTTCTTACAAGCCATCCCTCCTTCTCTTTTACAGAAAGAAAAAAAAACAGAATGAGAAAGCATATAATAAAGGATACATTAGATGACAAAATAATTTCACCTTTTCATGTTGTGGAACAGAAAAAATATATATTTATATTCACTTTTTTAATATATTTTTTTACCTGAAAACAAATTAATTAACCATATTAAAATATTATACAGAACACCTAAGGGGGTGTTTTTCTGTCTCATAAGCAGGCTTAGTAGTTAGGTACTTACATGCCTGGGTTACGCAAACTTGCAATCTTTCTACAAGCTTGGGCAAGTTGAGAAATTTGCATTACTGTGTTATCAGCATTAATGAAAAACGCAGTGCCAGCATGCATGAGGGGCAAACTTTATTTTACAGGGAGAGATTAATTTACAGAGAGAATTTGCGGTAGGGATGAAAGGAAACAAAGAAAGGGAAATGCTAGCTCTGTCGTTCTTAATTTAGAGTGTATTATATATTCCTTGAGTGGTTTAATTATTTTGCAAGGTCCGTTGGGGAAAGCACGACGTTAAATAAAAACGTACATTATTTAACTTAATTTAACTCTGGGAAATATAAAATGTTTCTAGGTATATATTTTATGAAAAGTCAATGGCGTGTGCAGCCCTTCAGAAAGAAGAGATTAATTACATAATAATGGTTCTTGTGGAAGGCAGTGTAAGTAGGGACAATAAAAACTGCTTAGGACAGGTGTGCAGAAAATCTAATCTATCGGCACAATATGCCAGAAGAATTCAACACAGAGGCATAGTTACAGAGCAATTTAGGCTGAAAGAACCTTAAAGGAGCACTCTAAATAACAACCTCTACTGCTTGATTAGGAATTGTTTGATATAAGCTAGACTTCTTCACAGAGCCCAAAACAGAAACCTCGCTCGTCGTATTGATAAAGCGGAATTAACACCATAACATATTGGTTGAGTATTCTGGAGCAGGTTAGCTCAGATAATCCAAATGGAAAATAATTTGACATTGGTAATGGGGTAATGTTAAATCTTTGATATCGATAAATTTGGTGCCAGGAAGAGTTTGGTGTAAGTCAAGCTATTGATATGGTTTGATATAAAGCGTCATGATACCCTCTCCAAGATATATAAGCACTACAGCAAGCTTTATGTTGCTTAGCAGGCCCCTAGAAGTTAACCAGGTTCAGTCACTCATGCCTGTTGTTGATCTTGATCCCGAAAGGCAAAAAAACACCTTGAACAGAATCACCTAATTTCCCCTCCTAAAAAAAAAACAAAAAAAAAAACAGGAGAATATTCCTTTTATTAATCCAAAGTGGAAAAAGAATTCTAGCTGCACCAACAAATTATAGTTACTAATATTTATATATTTGTCTGTTTTGGGGATTTTTTTTACTTTTTTTTTAAAAAAGTGTAGAAGCATATTTCACGAATCACAATCAATATGTGATGGTAATTTTTTTTTTGTTTAAGTGAGCGTAGAACTATTTTTATCCTTGTATACAGATATATATATATTAAAAAAAATATGTAAACTCTATACAATACGGCGCTGTATTGTATTTGTTCTCATTTTTTATATTGGTGGCATGACATCACAATCAGGTTTAATGGAGACCCAAACATATATCACATATGGACATGAACATATATGGACATCTGGTGATAATGCAAAGCGGTGGAGGTAACGGATTTAAAAACAAATGTTAATTTAGAAGTATACTAAGTATGTAATAATAAATGGTATGTGTTATGCGGTGTACACACACCTTGTGATGCTGTTAAAGCAAGAATGTCCATTTTTAGAGACTAGAAGCTGGTCCACAACTGTATTTCTGCAAGAAAAGATTATACCCATAGGAAACACTCAGGGGGAGGTAAACTCCCTACTGTTATGGTATTTACATTCCAAACACCCAGAGGACCTTGGGATTTAGGAAAATAGGAGCACTCAGCAAATTCACTATTAACAAAGCCAGTACAAACTTCATTGAACTAGATAATGAACTCCTACACTTTTTATCCAGAAGCTCAACTTTATCTTTTGCTTGTGGTTTTTTCCGAAGGGGTTACCTTTTGTGAATAGAATGAAACGAAAATAATCTGAAAGTAGACGTAGGAAAGAAGCATAAGGGACAATTATTTGTAATTTTTCAATAAAATGGATGCTTTTTATTTTATATTTGATTATTTCAGTATTGTGTAGGCATTGGTTCTACATGAAGTAGAATGATCTCATGAGTTCTATCAATAACAATATTTGTCAGCAATAAACTGTTTATTTCTTACAAACTGGCGGAAACACTCAACACCTTCATTTCCGAGCACAATATCGATAGCGTTTTATTTCTGTATGTTGTGAAATTGAATTTGTCAGGGTCTGGACCAAAACCTAAACCTCATTTCAGGTATAGCAATAAAGAATATCCAAGTTAAACCATCATTTCTACACAGTGTCCATATTGGGACACTCACTCAAGTAGCAAGTTCCTGATGTAACAAACTGGACACAGAGTGCATTACGAGATACTGCAGTACTACAATATCAGCTGGGAAGGATGGAACAAGATAGAAGATTGACTATAGCCTTTAAAAACGGATACTTAGAAAGTTAAGCTTGCGTGATGAACGTAATGAAGGAGGTACCCTAGTAGAAGGTGTTCATTATTGAGAGATGAAATCAAGATGTCAGATCATGCATGACACTTGTACCATCTTCATCTACTAAGCATAAGGCCTTGACAGTGATGGTAAATATTCCAGGATCGACACACAGTACAAGTAAAAGACAAAAACTGGTAAATCAGAATCAAGCATTGGCTCAATCACAAGCACACTACAATATCACTCTGGGACAGACAAACATGAGACAGAAACAAAAAGATAATTTTACGTGACTATAATGGACTAAACCTGCAAATCTAATCAATAAAAACTATTGGAAGGTCTACCTGTTGGTTAATGGCATCCCGACTGCCTTCTACCTGCCCCAGTATGGTGTTAAAGTTGGTTAATATAACTACCTGCATTGTACCCCAACTCTAAACCTCAGGGTTACCCTAATTTCACATACCTTTCAGCCCTCTTCATCCAGTTTGAGTACAGACTCCAAACAGACCAGGTAACAGATCTGTACAAGTTACCAAATTTAGCGTGATACTGGGATATATTGTTTGTTAAATAAATTTATATGGATTTTTACATTATGCCTCCTTTCCTCTCTGGGTTTTGCAGATAATTTACTATGAACGATGAGGGACAAATCTTGGTTACAGTAGCATGCAAGGCAAGTAGCAATAACACGACAGAATCGGAGAGTATTGTCAAAAGAGAATTCCTGATCAGAAGTAAATACCTGTGATGCCACTTGGCAACATCATATTAGAATGTTTGTATCTTTTAATGTTGCCCCTCTAGAATGTGTTAGATGCATACATTTCCAAACAAGGCAGAGGAGCACGTTGTGTAATAGCATGTACTACTCCAAGGAAGAACACTTCTATCACAGATGCTGAGTAGGAGCAGGAGTCGGCTAAACACAAAGGTAAGTGGTGATCAGAAAGGACCAAAATCTAATTATTGGGCAAGGTTACAAATGCTAATTAATGCACATAAAAATTAGTGTTGGTCCAAACCAACAGTTTTCCATCCCCCCAAAGAAGCTCTCAAATATTATGTTTTACAAATTATAAAAATCAGTGCCAGGTCTTCTGAAATATCAAATATCTGTAATCCCCACAGGTAACAATTATGAACAGACACCTGATCGCAAGTATTGATCCAAGGTACTACAGAAATAAAGCGAAAATGTTTGTATATTTATTGGCAAAGTCTTAGTTTTGGTGTATAAATCTATAGCTCAGTAGCTCTTTCCTGTGACCTACCATGTCATAACGTCACGAATCATACATTAATGTCTAATTAACAAAAAAAAAACAGAACAGCGGTCCCACTAATTAGCCAGATTATAAAGAGTGCTTATTGAGTCACTTGGGACTTCCAGAAATCCACTGCAACAGTGTTTCCCTAGATCAAAAATCGGATGTTGTGCTTGAATTACAAGTATGAAGAAGAAACCGCAAACCTCTACTTTAATAAGAATACATGAGAGATAATTGCTTTGATTCTATTTCAAGCAATAAAAAATGTATTGTTCTACGCATGAATATCTCTTGATTATACTGCAAGTCATTATTAGAGAGTATGACGTTAACATGTGCGTTAAGGTGTAAGGTTATAAGACTTTTACACTTCATACATGATAAGGCTGAACGTTTCGGAGGCACAATCTCACATTGCCTGTTAAAGTATTGGAGGAAAAAAAATACAGTAACAAAACGCATTACAGAATAGTATATAAATCTTAAAGCAAATCTGTCACTTTTCAGTATTTTATAAAGATATATTCTATATAAAATACTGATCCGACTGCATTGGAATTCCACTGAAATTACAACAGAATCCAAAGATACCATAAGACAAATTCGGCTTGGCCAAGTCATTTTGTCAGAAAAAAAGTATCGTTCAGGCAATCCAACAGTCGTCCATGCGGTGGTTGGCTTTTCAGAATATCTCCATGCAAAAGATTCAGGAATAAACCAAAGATTCGGACACACCAAAATAGCGTGAAAATGGGCCAATCTGCATACTGTACAGTATATATACTACTCTTTCCCTTTATTGATCACTTTTCACTTGGTCTGTGAATAAAATAAACATTTAGTTACTGTCCCTATGACAAAATTATTTCAACACCTGTTGAGGTGCAACCAACATCATTAGACAGACCTCTTGTCCATCGTGACAAACTAAACCGCTTATTTGCCCCTACCCCTGATAAAAACACAACTACTTCTACATTCTGTCCCACCATTTATGGAAGCACAGAAAGAACTCCAAATCGCCAAACAAAACTAAAGTGTCGTCCACTGCGGGGGTCATTTTTTGTAATATGTCCATATGGTACTTCATAGTTTTAAAATTCTACTGAGACTATATCTAAAGATTATCACTCTCTTTTAATCCTCTTCGATCTAGCTCTCTGCGGCCTTTGATATTGTTGACCACTTTTTCTTCAAACCCTCCACAGCCTTGTATTTATTGTACTTTCCTGGTTTTCATCCGATCTTTGTGAATCCTCATTCAGTCTCTTTTTTTGGGTGCGACCTTCTCCTGAATGCTTTTTTTTTTATTTTGTGTTCCCCAGGGTTTTATCGGTCCTCTTTTATTCTCCATCTAAACTACCTCTCTTTTTAACCAACTATATGCTGATGATACTCAGATTTACCTATCCTCCCCTGACCACTCTCCTGCTCTCCTAGATCATGTCACAAACTGCCATTCTTCCATCTCTAACTGGATGTCTTCCAGTCTTCTAAAACGTAATCTTTCTAATGCTGAACTCCTCATCTTTCCTGCTTCAAATAGTCTTCTCCCATCAACCTCCCTGCAAGTCCATTGGACGCCTATTACCCCAAGACCTCAAGCTCACTGCCTTGGTGTTACTTTCTACGGCAACTCACTACTCATCGACCTTCCTAATAATGGTATTCTAGTGCACAGCAGCAATGAGACAATGGGCCTGGAAGGCAGGTAAGGATGCAGTAAATACTCATTCAGGATGCAGTAATACCCTCTACTGTAACAGGTCTAACAACTGACAGCAGCTCTAAGCAGGTAAGTAATCCTCTACATAGAACTAATATTAAAGGAACACTCCCGATCACATAACACAAGCTCATTTAACTTGCTATGAGAGCAGGAGTATGCGTACTATGTCTGTCACTGGTTGCCCAGCTAAACCTTCCTCATACTGCACTGCAGAGAAGAACAGAGGTGTCGGGCTAGAGAGACCCATTTACAGTGTTAAATCATTACTAATCAGTTTAACTCCTGACAGTAAGCATGTGTTGCTGTAGGAGTGTTCCTTTAATAACATCGCTTAGGTCAAGGTAATAGTGCTTCTAAGTTATGCAGTTCTAAAATGTGTCTATGCAATGCAGCAATATTTAATGACAACTGCATTATGTATCATACCTATGAATGTTCTGCTCATGTAAAGGTTATACACATGTTAATGAAAATAATCTCTTTCAGTATTGAGATTTGATGATAAACGGTTTCCTCCTAGAAAGGGGTACTTCACCACCTCCACCAACAACCACGAGCACTCAACCACCTCCACCACCTCCACCAACAACCACAAGCACTTCAACATTTCCACCAACAACCACGAGCACTCCATCACATCTACTAATAACCATGAGCACTACACCATTAAATGTTGTTACAGGAACACTTACACTCCTTCAGCAAATTAAGCTTATGTTCTACTGCAGGCACGAGTACCCCACCACCTCCACCAAAAGAAAAGCAAAAACCAGCTACCACTCCAATGGAACTAAGAGGTGATTGCCTCTGATTGGCTCTGATTGCCAGTTGGCTTCACCAAGTTTTGATAAGACATATGTGAAACTGTTACTGGCACACCAGCTCTCCTCACATCCTCACCGATATATATGAACAGTTGGGTTGGAGAAATAGATGGCACAACAACTATCACTAATCATGAAGGTACATTTTACTGTGGCACATTGAAGAGTTCTCTCCTGAATACCTACTGCAGGCCATGTCAACATGAGAGCTAACTGATCTTACATCAAGCATTAAACCATCTGACACGGCCACACCCCAATCAAGCCCCCTCAGAGACCTTGGGCCAAGGAACCAAGGAACCCATGAAAGAAGCCCGTAATCCCCACATTAGGTCCTACACACACAAAATGACCATTGCTAGTTAAAAATAAAACTAGTTTTTTGTTAACTTGAATATGGTTGTCTGAGTATTATTCATATTGTGGTACTTTGGTAGACTGTAGTGGTTATTGAATCTACATTACATTCACTTCATTCAGGAAATGATCCCTTGTGACGACCATACGTGTCCATGGAAAGCCGAATGCTGCACACTGGTCATTTTAATCTACATGTAATAGAAGAAGTGGGACCAAAAGCAAGTTTTCAAACTCTTCTAGAAATACAATGACTCCTTGATGCTTTGTCAGACTTCAGATTTAGTTCCACTGAGAATCTGCCATTGACTAATCATTGATAGATTCTGTGGAGTGTTCATCAAGCTTACATGTCATTATTTATTGAGTCTACAATGTAGATCGTGTGATAATATTTTAATACGGACATGGAGTTTACCGAGGACTTTATATCATTAAGCAGATTTCATATTACATGTAGTTAATGCAGATCAGGTCGAGACAGCTATCGCCAAGAATATACATATGTGCAATATTATCTATTAAATTGGTAGCGCAATTTACGGCATTTACGGATATGCTTGCTCTACTATTTTTGTGAGGCAGCCTTTTACTTTTTACAAACACCAATTCCTTTCATGGTTTGTTTGGTTTTTTTAATACGACTATTAAGTTTTTCTCAGAGCTCAGAAAGTTTATGAGTGTGTATAGGTGAATCACGAAATTCTACCGCAATTAAATTGAGGCACTCGTCTTTAAACTTTAATAAATGTTTTAAAAAATTGTTTGTGGAAACGAAGTATTTGAATGAGACGTTTACAACAAGGTTGATTTTATTAATGGAAATTAGAAGACAAAATCATTTCAACTAGTCCAGAATGGCCCCGAGCCCAACCAAAAATCCAGCCACAACTTCTAAAACAAAGGTGTCCCTCTGTGGCCATTTGTAGTGTTGGGAGGTACACAATTACATAGCTACTTCAAAAGCAAAAATAAAAACTACATAGCAAATAAAATATAATATGAGCATAACAGTGTCCATTAAAAAGTGAAGAAGCTGTAGCCAGGATCCTGCTGGCTACAAGCAATCCCATATCTCCTATTTGTATCTTTCACATAATGCTGATTTTTCTAAAGAGACTTTTCTGGCAATGTATAGAAGGTCTATAGCACAGAAGCGCAGAACAGATAAGGGGATGAGTCAGTGGCAAGTGGATAAGGATCGGGTGTCATTTGGTTGGATGAGCAATTTAAAAGGAATCATGTAAAGATACGCCTATCAATGTAAATGTTTAATATCTGAAGGAGATCTACAGTTGTAGTGTTGGAGCACCTTTGTATAGCTGTATGTACATGATATTGCATCAAGTATAAGTGGCGGAATGACTATTGTGATACAATGCTCGATCAGTATTATATACAGAACAGAAGATTTAAAGCCCATCAAGATTGCAAAGCAGAGAAAAACATGAGAGACAATCCCCGTATCACAATAATATTAGATGAAGTGCAGTCTGAAGAGTTAATGTCCAATAGGAAGTGTCAGATTAGTTGTGGATTAATCAGATGTGTACGTAATCTGATATGTGTTGAATTGTCGTTGTCGATATAGTGCTACAACTATGGTAATCCATTCAATATAGGCTTGTGGCATTATGACTGCTATATATTCACTTTAAACCAAAATAAATGGGAGCCTTTAACCGAATGTGTGCCAGTGACATGAAATGGGCCTGATGCAAAAAGATGCTGAATAGTTCCTTAATAAACGATTAGAATATTATTTTAATGTGACTGCAAATTTAAAAACAAATAGGAAAGTAAATCAATGACCCAATTAAACACCAATGGTGCTTAACCCATTAGATACCAATCATGTTTAACCCATTAGATATCAAATAGGGTTTAACCCATTAGATACCAATCATGCTTAACCCATTAGATACCAATGGTGATTTATGTCGTAAATGTAAAGAATATTTTGCTATCAGAACATCTTTTTTAAATATTGGGGTGTAAAATAGGGATCACGGTTGAAATTGTGGGAAGCCAAAAGAGGTGGTAAAAGAGGCAGAGGTTAGCTTCTGGGGGTTAGCACTGGAGTGATGGGGAAGTCAGAGTACTGTATTGCAATATGTTTTCATTTGTTTACTGTAACTGTTTGATTTTCAAAGTTCTTCACTAAAGTGAGAATTCAAACTGAACTTCAAATGTAATTATACAGATACAGTGTATCCACATTGTTGGCAGTGAAAGGGTTACCTATCACAATCCAAACTGAAAACTGTTTGTTTACATACAACGGGGCTCTGTTCTGGCAATTTAGCGTCAGCTCCCGTACAAACCATGACAGCGTAGGGTCTGTACACACCAGACTGTGGGTTTTATCTGTATGTTGTTACACATTAAAAATAAAACTGAATAATCTTAATTAAAAGAACGATAAAATAGAAGGCTAGGAATTTATAAAGCGCTAACATACTAAGCAGTGCTGTACAAGAGGGTGACTAACAAACAAGTAATATTTACTAAATAGGATCGATGCACAGGAACAGAAGGCAGTGATATATCTGTACATATTCTGCACCCTAAACTTGGATATAACTCCCCAACTAATAATACTGCCAGTGGTTTTCCATTGAGGCTGTTTTGAATCTTGTTTACAACCTCCTGTGTTTGATTTCATCATGGGGCTTGTGAGCTGGAAGATGTCACTGTTAAGTTTCTGGAGGGCTGCATGGTTATACCAAATGTCATACGAGTAAACGGCACATTTCACTGGTTGCTCACTTAAATGGACGTTTGTTTTGTTTTTTTCATCAAAGATTAAGATTTATTTATGACTTTAGATTGTTTCATTAAAACTAAAACAATTTTGGCGAAATACTTATAAAATACCAACTAAAGTGTTGCTTAAATAGAAACGTCCTGAAAAAATTATTTAAACCAAGGCTTGGCAGAAAATAAAATCGCAACAAAACCTAACTCTATATCTCTATACATGTCTGTTATTCTAAAAGGTAACACAAACGTTCACTTAGGACATAAATTAGGGGCAGTGATGACAAATCAGCACTATATTAGGGTGTGTCAGAGCACTTTTGACACACGCTTTGTACACGCCTGTGCGCCGGAGTTTTTTATAATTTCAGCGGTAAATCCAAATCACTATTACAAGTAAAGTCTCTTGTTGAAATACAATGCTATCTTGCTACAGAATGTTAGCTCTTCATCAATAAAATATTAGTAATTTGGCAAAAGCATATTCTGCCAGGGTTTTGGCAGATACCGTTTGGGATTGACTTTTCCTCACATTTAGCTATCCAGATGTTTAGCTACCCACTGCAGTGCCGCTAGAATGAGAGAATTTGGTAAGCTAATAACATAAAGCATCCTTTGACTTTCATTCCATTCTGTGGAAAGTAAAATCAAATAAATAAAAAATAGATGTAAAAATAATTATACATAATACACACACAGAGAGAGACAGAGAGAAAGAAAAAAAATATTCTTTAAAGGCGTAGTTTATGCACCATTACAGCCCCTTGTAGGGCTATGATGTCTGGAGTACTCTGGACCTGTTTCTCGTTAATAGAGCAATCCAGCCGGCCATTCTGCATCAGCTGACCTCACCAAGCCAATAAATGCAATTCTGTGCATAGGAATTTAGGCAGAATTGGCAATGGTCAACCCAAACTCTTCTTTAAGCCTGGCTAAGGATGCCCCAATGACGTGACTAGAGGTGGAGAAACACCTCCAGCAGAGGGGTAAACTCTGTATGCGCAGCATTTCAAAGTGACTCGTTGCACATACAGACTCACCATGAAGTGGCACTTGGAGTAATCCTTTAAGTTTTCTATCACAATCCAAAAAGGAACATTCTAATTTATTTTTTTATGGTTTTAAAAAAACAAAACAAAAAAAAAAAGGCATTTTAAATTAGGTGTGTTCCTGCTTTATTTTAGATTACCTAGCCCCTTGTTTTAAAAAATACATATATTGTAAAAAGTCCTTGAACTTATGGCACTGAGACACACTCCTCACTGGAGCCCGATCTTCATCCTGTTTCGTTATCAAGACTGATAACTTTTGTCAAATCAGAGGACACTGTACTCATGCACAGCAATCACCGTGATCTGCCAAGCTATGAGAAGCACGGAATGCACACAATGCGCTCCATCCGAATTATCGGCACGCTGACACCGAACATCAAATAGGTTTAATATTGAATCTATTTGTGTTGGAATCCCCTAGTGGCGGTCTGTCTGTCTGCAAATTTTCTATTAGAAGGCGTGGATAGTACTAAAAATAAACAGTACGGTTTCTGAGAGATGTTACGGTATTTATTTGCAAGGCATCGTGGGTATCATCTGTGCCCCAAATTCACATTAGTAATATAAAGCGTCCCTTTATCCAAAAGCAGAGTTTTTTGAGGATCAGACCCGGCCAGTTCAGAGACTGGAGCACGTATGATAACACTGAAAGAGGATACAGTGTACTAGGAGCTTACAATCTACGGTTTCTATTTCATTTTGCCACAAATTATCCCCCTTCTTGTAACACTACGCAGAATATACAGAACATTTTCAAATAATAGGCTTGTCTGTCAGTGTGGCATTGTCTACCATCGCAATATATCAGGGTAATAATCTACCTGATGGAAATCCCACGAGATTAGCGAATAATTCAGCTTTCCTCAAAACCGTTAACATTGCCACCATCATCCTCATTTCAGAATGAAAGGCTAAGATTTCAGACACCAGATTTCTCATGACAGTCTCGAAAATAAAATCGCATTTCTCCAGTTGAACTTTTCCACAAACCACTGCTGGGCTCAGTGAACCCAAAATAAAAACCTGCATGAAAGGGACTAAATCATCACTTAGGATCTGTGCTATACTGAGCCCAGTGTCAAACCTTCTAAAAGGCATTATGCAATAATTATAGTATCTTATGGGGCGCCTGATGCTGTCAAATATGAGATAGATAGATAGATAGATAGATAGATAGATAGATAGATAGATAGACAGACAGACTAAAGTCTTGTGTGAGGAAGTTTTGACAACATGCTGTTGAATTCTGGAACCAGAGATGTATAATGAGAAGAGTAAAGTATCGAATGGCGAGGAGTGTTTTTATATTTTGGAGTTATTTATTAAAGTGAGAATTCAAAGTGACTTTCAGTTTTATTTATTTTTATAACTGATGCTTGATTAAGAAAAAAACATTTATTGATGCGCTTTGCATAAATCTATTTAATAAACTATTTAGAATGTTACTTTTAGTTTTGTGCCATTATCAATATAACCCCTTTTTTCCCTCTCCCTCCCAACACTTGCAGGGTTCTAATGTGGTTATGGAGTAAAATTCATGGTGCTTTTAGAAAAAATCTAACTATTAATATTGACCATTTGATTGGGCACTGGAGATTAAAATCCCTCAATTTTGATGATTTAATGGTCTGGATCCTGCTTTTATCTAAATTGACATGATGTCCTTGATTTAAAGGCGCAGTTTTGAAAATTGTGTATTTTAGTAAATAGGCCGGTGTTTTATACCCCCAGGGTGTACAAGGTTTTACCAAATCGTGTTTTATTTGAGGCCTCAACCTTAACCCTTAAATATTTAATATTCACCTTGGACTTTATCCACTAAACTGTGAAATGTTGTGAATTAAAACTAACATTTTACATATTAGACAAAAACCTGGTTTGGAAAAATGTTTAATCTCAAATTTAGTCATTTTAGCCCGAATCGTACAATTAGATTTTTCAATTCCCTCCAACTTGCTGTTTAGTAAATAAACCCCCTTCTCTTGCTACAAAGTACATTCTGCATCATTGTAGATCTGCTGTGATCCATCGCCCATCAGGTATGTCCTGCCATTTCTTTACCCCATTAAAACTAACAGCACCAGCCTTCCTCTCTCTATTAATTATCTTTCTGTTTGAATAAAGTGTGTAATCTTCTTTCAAACCGCATCATTTAAACAGTTACCTTTTTCAATTATGAACTGGATGCCTCTCAGTCCTCATATTTTAGTCCTCTAATATCTTAGTTTTTTTTCCCCCTATATAATATATATTTAAATAGAGAATAGGACATTAGAATTTATTTGAAGAGAATTTAAATGTAGAAATAAATATAGGATTTAGCACAAATAACCTTGCAGGGATTAAAAAGCAATTAAGCCAGTGGCTTTGTTATAGTTCCTTTAAACTAGGCTTCTTGTCCTTATAGAAATAAATCATAAAGATATTCTGTCTGTCTATGCGTTTGTGTATGTGTTTGTTGATGTTTTGTGTGTGTGTGTTTTCTGTGTATGTTTGCTTACGTGTGTTTTTGTGTATGTGTGAGTATGTTTATGTGTGTGTGTTTTTGTGCATGTGTGCGTTTGTGTATGTGTTTGTTGATGTTTTGTGTGTGTGTGTTTTCTGTGTATGTTTGCTTACGTGTGTTTTTGTGTATGTGTGAGTATGTTTATGTGTGTGTGTTTTTGTGCATGTGTGTGTCTGTGTGTGTGTTTTGTTTTCATTACTGAGAAATCTGATTGTGCATATTTATCTAGAGGACAATATAAATAAATTGGGGTACAGCTAGAGTTTGACCCCTTCACCCCCAAAATTTTCCCAGTTATTTTAAAGGTAGAGTTGTATTATTCATTAAATTAACTTCACATTGACAGCAGATGACAAGAAGCTAGCGCAATGTGAAGATTATTTGACCTACATATACTTACCTAGCGTAATTTAGAAAGCTATACTTACCTTCTTACTTACCTAGCCTACTTTAGATCATTTTATGAAATTATATTTTACAAATTATTCTACACTTTCACTATAAAATTAAATAAAAACATTTCTCAAATAACCAACAATAATTTGATGAGAGCTTGTATAATGTTTGTTCGATTGATTTAATGATTTTTAAAGTTCACTTTATTTAACTGGTGAATATATTAGAATGTAAAATCTAGCGGCAGTAGATCCAGCCTTTCCCCATCTGCCAAGATCATGCTCTATCGATTAGCAGGGTGTGGGATTTAGAATTGCAAGATACTGGGAGGATTTGTACAAACAGCAGATGTGACGCTAAGTTGTAAAAGTGCCGCAGTCACCATAGAAACGAATGGAATGTTGGTGTTGATTACTCTCTCTGAGAAACATACTGAAGTGATACATTGTTGCTTATGTACAAAGAACAATTCTGGGATAAAGTTCTGTTATCATTCGATTTGGCAGTAGCGGTTTCCCATGCAGCTCTATTCCCCCAATGTTTATGGTAAATATATAAATATATATATAAATATAGCTGGAGTTCATGAGATATCAACAATATTGTGTTTACAAAATGCATCATTTATTTATTTAGCAATCAAGAGAATCAAATGTTTCACGCACGAGTTTAAATAATGCATTTTACACAATCACAAATCCTTCCAGTATCTAAACTCAAACTGTGAAAATAGATTTCTCTCTGGATGTAGATTCCAAGAGAATTTTACAGAAACAAGTCTTCTTCATTATCTTTAAACAGTGGTTTAAAAAAAAAAACTCAAATACTTGTCAAATAATCAGACTAGATTTTGTTTGTGTTAAATTCCCCTGTTGAAATAAAAGATACTAAAATAATTTATTACTAAATAATGCTTTCTTCTTTGCCTTTGTCTTGGTTTTTTTTCTTACATATCTTTTTAATCATACTTTATTTTAATAAATTTCTTTCGAAATAGAAATGTAAGTAAATAGCACATCCTTCGCCTATATCAGTTCAACTTGTCTTTTGTATCACCTCTGCCAAAAATGTAAGGGACACATATATATTTCGAGTTATCATATTCCTCTCTCAAATTTCTTTTAATCTGATCCCCAGAATACAGGTGCACAGGACCACCCAATACAGAAACATATAGTCACAATTGGCAGATCGACTCCACACACTAACATACACCCACTAATTACTAACGGGTCCTAAAGAGTTAATGGCTGTGTATATCACAACATTCCATAGAATGCATGCATACATTGTAACAACACATCAGAATATAACAAGCATCAGGATGGATTTAGATCCATTTCCCTGAGATCTGTGGCTAGGTATAGATATTAAAATACATTTTACCACCTACTGGAGCCCTCGGCTGTAGGAAACTGCTCTGTAAAGTCCTCAAAATAAAACAGTGAAGAGTTAAGACGAGTTTTCTTTGGAGATGCAGATCAATTTGAGAACTTTTCCCCTCTTTAGCTTGTTCAGAAGAAGAGTAAAAAAAGAATACCCCAAATAAAATCAGAGCACAATTCCTTCAGATGAACACCACTTTCTCGTTTCTTTCAGATCTTTGCAAAGAATCCACCCAGCAGTCAGCTCAGCTAAAGAGAAATTCTCTTTGATAAAACAGTGTTGTAGGCATCTGGGTTTTAAAACCTAAATCTATATTCAAATCTGGCTGAAGGTGTGTACTTGGGATTTATGAAAGCCTCTTAAAGGGGTACATTTATCAAACCGTGACAAAATCATAGCTGTATGACTTTAGACATTTGAAGTAGATGAGAATTTTGAAGAGATCTTTGTTTATTTAGGGAACTGTCCATTTCTGCTACTTGTTATATCGCCCAAGCGAAAATAACTACTAGCTAATTATTATTAGTGGGAGAAAGATAGCCTACAGATTATCTCCCAGACTCTACCTACATCACCAATAGAATGGCTCTTCTAAAACTACCAGCCACACAATATTTATACCAGAGGTCCCATAGTATTTTAAACAGGGCTCCCCACTGCAGCCTTGCTTTGCAACTATGTCAGTGTTCGGATTGTAGAATTGTTGTTGTAAAACTGTCTAATCCATTGTATGATAATGGAAACACAGATGGGTATGGACAGATCCTAATTGTGTTAGATAGAAATTTAAATCCAACATGTCTTGTGTGGATAGCAAAACATATCTAGATTTTATACATAGCCAGATTGTACATTTAGATTACTCTGTATATATATATTGTGCATGGTGGTGTAACAAAGACTTCTAGAGAGATCATCTGAAATATGGAAACAAATTATAAAAACATTTAAAATATATATATATATACACACACACACACAACTGAAAATATTGATGTACACAAGCACATGGCGCCTTATAAAATAAACAATACTTTGTTTTGCAACTTCTATAGAATGTTTGGTTTTAAATGGTTTAATTATCAAATATTTTCCATTTATTTATGCACTGATTGTTTTTATTTCTAAGGACAAAAAAAACCAAAAAAAAAAACCTCACAAACCCTATTAGAAGGGAGAAGATGCGGGTTTGTAGACTGGTTATTTTCACTGTGTGTTCCTGAATTACAATAGTCTATTTTCTAGTAACAGTCTATATTCACTGAATATATATTTATAGAATTAACTACCAGAGGGAAATATATTTAGTACTTGGGCAATTTTGGGTGAGAAAAGAAATATTTTCAACTCGTTCCATTCTATCTATTACAGCCTTTTGAAGACTTTAATGGATTCTTTGTGCGTTGGGAAAGTGATTAACATATAGTGATCTGGTGTTGAATAATTCTAGTCTATATTTTGCCTGGATCACTGTCTGAGAGAAATAGGGCTCCCTTCTTCTATTGTGGACTGGGCTAAATCATTGCACTATTTACAGTGTTTGGCTCTTTCACATTATAATCTGTCGCCTGAATATGTGAAAACCTTGTGTCCTTACCAGCTCTGTGAATTCTATCTGCAATCTATGGGGGCTTCTGATCCTTAATTTATAGCAAGCAGTGCATGTGGTAAGCAGCTGCCAGTGTGTAGCACCCCTTTTAATTGTTCACCCACTCATTCCTTGTGTGTATAACACCACTTCTTGTACTAATAATCTGTATAACCAATGCCAAACAGCACTGTACAAAGTGTGACAAACTCTAGTTTATTGTACACAAATCAAAGTGGTATAGTACACATTCTTAAACAAAACAACCCTCAAATTCGTTTAAAGAATAAATGTGAGAACAAGGTTTGTTTATTTCACCACTATCTGCTCTTTCCTTTGTATTCATAGTTTATTTTACTTACTAATGCACAACGCTACTGAATATGTTGGAGCTCAACACGTGCTTTTTCGATGCTCCTCGCCATATCCTAATGCATTTCAGCCATCCCTGTGTATTCCACACCCTACAAATACATTCACCCAGCTGATAATTAGAAATATGACATCAATATATCGCTACCAGCCCCCCCTCCCACAAAATAATTTTTATTCTAACTCTTTGCATAATAATAATTTTGTCTTAAAATGGGACATTACAACCCAATACTTTATAAACCACATACATTTTGCTCATAAAGGGTATACAATATGAATATGTGCATTAATTGCCTCTTTAAAGCTGCACTGCTAGCCTGCCCAGTGCCATAAGAGTCTATTTGTCTCCTGATTGTCCCTGTGGTTGAGCAGTGTACCTTCCCTCCCCCTGATGTGTTTATTTATTATTTTTCACTGTGGCTCAGAAGTGTCAATCATATTCCCCCTGCCATTGGCTACAGAAATTGCGTCAAAAAGTTGCCAGTGAGGGAGCCTTCTCTGCAAATGTTCAGTAGAGAGACACAGAGCTCAGGCTCCAATCTTGTCTCCTCTGTTTCACAAGATATCACAAGATCCTCCTCCACCAACCCCTTTGTATGTCTGTACAGGATAACACACAGTTTAAAGCTTTGCTGTACTTTACTCCACGAAAGGGGAAGAGAGAACTGAGTTTTTAATGAACTTGTTTCGATTTGTTGCAGGATAAAGGATATCTGATTGAGCCTAGCTTCATTTTTGGGGTCTATTTAACGTTTGAAGAGGTGAGTGTTGCTACCTACCTTTATTTCCTGTATGTTAAACCTGGCTCTGTTTAATTCATTTTTAGACCTCTCTGCAATTTAAGAGAAAGCTGCTGTGTTCCAGATCTCTAAACTGTGTCTCTGTTTGTCCTTTTCTTAATTGACAAAGAGAACATTGCTTAGAGTGGAGCTTTTACTGAATACATTTACGAATCTGTAGGTGAATAATAGTTTTATTTATAAAGTGAATTGTAATGATTTTGTAAGTTTGTTTTGGTTTATGAAGACAGATCCAAGAAGATATTTAAGTAAATGTTAAACATTCTTTTTTTGGCTTAGTAAATTCTCTGTCTTCATTCACAGAAAGCACAAACAGAGAAAACCGGATAATTGAGTAGGCGGGGTGTCTCATCCCCAATTTTCCCTCTTTTCTGTGTGTAAAAGGGTGAGGGAGAGAGCTTGGGATTTTTTTTTTCCTTTACAAGATCAATGGGTGTGGGGGGGGGGGGACTATTTAAAAAAACAAAACAAAAAAAAAACATGGCCTGCTCATGTTGACAAACCAATAGTTTTGATCAAAAAAAAATAAGTGGTATTAAAACTCTAGCTTACTCAGTTATTGACAAACAGATTTCTTCCCAGACTCCAATCGATAGGTTGAACTAAGGAAAGTCGTTTTAAAAACAGCTTTGTACAAGGCTTCTAGACCGTAAACTCATAGAACATAGAATATTGTCACATACAGTGTATCTTCTATCGTCTATACTCGCTTTTACAATGTTTGGGTTTTAATGATCTCAACAAAATGTGTATATATTGTGTGCACTGCTGACAGATGTTATTGGAGAGAGCAGATGTTATGAGTCAACTGATCAACAAATAATTGCACTATACTTGTTTTTGTACAATGTTTGTGTGTGCTAACATTTTATTTTATATTCGTTTGACAATTTGGCAGACATCAGAAAGAATCAGAAACAATCGCATTTTGATTTTCACAATTACTTGTAAACTTAATCAAAACTATTCTAGGATTGTAAATATTAAGGCTATGCGCTCATAAGATTCGTTTACATTTTTACAATGGAGAAAAACTCTGAATTAGAACCGAATATGAAATAAAAATAACAATATTAATAACAACAACAACACAACTATGACAACAATATAACTATAGAAATGATCTAACTATAATAATAATAATCTAACTATAACATTGACAATTATGCTTATAGTTATCCCATGGTTATAGTTAAATTATTGTTTAAATTATAACAATAATGGTTATATTATTGTTATAAAAAGAAAAATAGGAATACAATTTTTAATGCTTTAAGGGTCCTTTTAGGTTTCAATTAAATTAATGATCGCTTGGAGGATTTAATAAATCATGTATATGAGGAACAGCATACTTATATTAATGAATAAAATAGTGATATTTAAATAACATCTGTTTAATCACAAGAGGAAGCATTGAGCAGCTTGGAATACGAATTGAGGGGGCGATGTGTACTCTGAAAATGTTTGGGGGCTTCTGAATTAAAATTAACAGATATTGCAAATTGTAATGTAAAAATAATTTGCAACAATGACACTAATTAACATGTGACTAATACACGTTGGGGCTTTGTTAATTATTAACAACTAGGGATGACAAAATAATTAATTCCTACTTCCAAAACTCCTTTACCTCTCGCCCCCCCCCAAGGCCCCAAACTTTCACTGCCTAACACCAATTTTTTTTTGTGTCTATAAACAGCATGTCAGTCTATGTGTTTTGTTTAATATCCATCAGGCAGAAAATTAATCACCACAACTGCTCTGCAGACTTCGGCAACTGCGTCCTATAATTAGGGAACTTGTGCCACTCAGATTATCTCGTTAATTTATCAAGAAAACATTTATTATAATTAATTATTCGACGAAGTAATTATTATTGAGCAACTGGTAGATGGGACGTTTAGGGGAAATAGTGACAGATTGTGTTTGTGGAACCGTTGTTCAGAAGTTACATCAGTGATTAGCAAAAAGTCCTACCAGCAACCTAATTTTTTTTTTAATTTTTTTTTAAAGTGAACAAAGACTATTTTAAATTATGATTTAAACGCCTGGGATTTGCAGATAAAAACTCGTTATTGCCTTCAACGATTGAGTTACAAAGATGCATTCATAACACTTACATAATATTTTATTTCTTTAATTGTTTTTTGTTAACTATGGTGCTCATCTGAAACTTAATAAAACTCAAGAAATATTTTAAGCATAATACTCAGGACCTGTGGGATAAATCAGTGCTTCAGTTCAATAACTCAGTTTGTCTACGATTCCTCTAAAATAAATGACATTCAAAAAGCTCATGTTTAGTTAGAATAGTATGTTAATCAAATGCAACTGAATAGTTGAGTGAATTTATGGTTGAAAGCTAAACTTAAAAATTAAGGGCGTTTTTTGTTTTTATTAAATGTGATTAAATTTTAGGTTTTAAAACACAGTATTGCCCCTATCCCCAATCTCCTTAGTAATTAATGGACTCAATTAAAACACGATTTTTGTACATTGTAATCAATCAGATAATATCTCTTGTAAAGCGTGTTTAACGTTAAATGCATGTAATTGGAGCAATTTAAAAAAATGCTAATTTAAAAAAATTCACATTAGGAAATAAATTGTAAGTTTCAATCATATTTGTACAGTATATCATCGGCTATTTTAAATCACGAATTATAAATCACACTCTACAAATATTGAGTACACAGATTTACAAATTATAGTAGATAATAAAATTGTATTTATGGTCTTGTATTTAGAAATAATGAAACTGTAAAAATGTTTGTTGTAGTAAAAACACAAAACATGTAAATAATAAAACATAAATATTTAAATACCTGATTTTGAACCATAATTCCTAAGGCATATTTTCTTGAGCTACAATTTTTGTGATTGGACAGGTTTTAAGTACTTTTTTTTACCTGGAGAATGTAGATTGCAGAGTGCACTAAAAACATTAAAAAAAAAAAAAATAGATATATTGTTGCCTTTAGTGGCCAATATTGTTGATTCTGGAGGGGGCGACTGCTGATGTGTATGTTTGAGTGTTTAAATGAGTTAATGCAATTAAAGTGTATCTGCACCTCAGTATGCACTCAGTCAGGTGAGGAATGTGACTCTCGCCTAAGATGTTACATTGTTTCTTAATTGGAAATTAAAGACTTGTTTGTTTAACTTTGAATCAACACTTTGAAACCTCAATAAACCAATTCTATAGCGTTGTATTTCTAATTAGGATTTCCTTTAAACTTAAATGAATTGGAGATTTTGGAACTTTAAAAAAAAAAAATACTGAGAGATTTAATTTAAAAAAAAAAAAAGTTCTCTACAAACTTCCAGTGTACATTTGTTCTGTTTTGTTTTCTTACAAACCTTAAATTCTTTTCTGCAATAACTTGTAGCAAAATAAATTGGAGCTTATCTGCAATAAATGGTTTTATTATTATTTTCTAATGTCCACCAAGGCTGGGAGGGATTGATTCTCTTTATCTCCCAGAAAGGGTTTTAACTTTATTATTTATTTAACCAATGAGCTCTTTGTTTCTTGCAAATGGTCCCAATCAAGTTTTGTTAGAGACAATTAGCAAGCACTAACCAATAGATGCTATGCAAATGAGTCTTCCTGCAGTCTTGCTGAGTCCATTTAAAGGCTTGGGGTTAGTTGATTTTTTTTTTTTTCCCGTGCCTAGGAAGGCGTGTTGTATTTCATGGGTTGTAACTTTTTTTTTTGGGAAGAGACACGTTTATTTAGTGTGCATTTTCTTCCTCCACTGGTCAGCTGGGGGTCTGGGACTTCCTAAAGAGCAGGAACATGAGCTACTGAGGCTCATACACTAACAAGCTATCAATAGATCCAGAATGAAAATAAACAAGCCTTTAAATGCACACAGCTTAAAAACTACATAAACCACATCCAAAATGCAAGAATTTTAACATCAAACCCCCTTCGTGTTCCAGAACGTCTGATTGCAGGAGAATAGCGTACAGAGGAACCCCAATTGCCACCACGATTCCAGACAACTTTGCAATTTGTGCTCCCCACTACAACATTAGCATGATGTCCTATCTCAAGCAACCACCTTATGCAGTGAATGGACTGAGCCTCACTACCTCTGGGATGGACTTACTACATCCTTCCGTGGGATATCCTGGTAAGTTCGCTTATACCTAATGCTGATTATCTGAGATTTTTTGGATTAACAGAACATCTTCTTCAGTAATTCTCTAAGGCAGAGGGACATGCACTTTATTCCCAGGGCTGTACTTTTTTAAAATAAAAAAACGAACTTTTTTTTTTTTTTTTTTACTTTATTTTTTTTAATAATTGCAAGTCTGTTTATACTTTATTAAACATATCTTTACAAATAAACAGCGGGGTTCTATTTACTAATCTCACAATTGTAGTGAATTAAAATCAGTATGGTAACATTTATCCAAAACAATAGCTGACTTTGCAATACACTTTCCAAATCGCTTACAGTCCTAGCTTGAATGTTTTTGTTTTTGGGCTAAACTTTGTAATTTTTGGATGTCAATTTGCTACAATTTGGAGTTTAGTAAATGAACCCAAACGAAGAATCTGGACAAAAGAATGGCATAAAAACAAGTTATATTGAGGGGTATTTTTTTTTATTTTTTTATTTGTGTTTAATGTTCCTTTGGCCTAGATGGGATTTTTGTTTTTAACATTGGGGTCCCACTTACTAAACGGCGAATTAAAATAAAAAAAACTAATTTGCAACATTTAATTTCGAATAGTTCTCAGATCATTTATACCGGCCTAAATCTTGTAAATTGAGTTTAACATTTCTACTGTTCGCTGTTTAGTAACTCAAATCACTTTCACTTTTTTAGTAATTTCTCCCCGATACATAGCTTGGCTTCGGTTTGTGTAGGTACAGTAAGTGGATTTCTGCTATATGGCTAGCAAATTGACTGTACCTCATTGATTAATTTAATCTAATGTGGGTTGGTGGGTGTGTACCCCATAATGGTTAATGGTGTGTGTGTGTGTGTGTGTGTGTATGTATGTATGTATGTATGTATGTATTAATCTGGTAAAATTAGATTACTTGATGTATAATTTTGGCCACTCAGGATTGCAGTGAAACCTATATTTTCTCGATTTTTATTTAAGGGATGTTTTGTGTAGAACGGTTTTGGGGCAATGCAGTGGAGTTTGGTGAACCTATTTTTATTTTAAATCGATTAGATCTATACATTCCCAATATCAGATCAATCCAATGATCAATAGTTCTCTTTTCAGCTACCCCCAGAAAGCAGAGGCGAGAGAGGACCACTTTTACCAGAGCCCAACTGGATGTCCTGGAGGCACTTTTTGCCAAAACTCGTTACCCTGATATCTTCATGAGAGAAGAGGTGGCTCTAAAGATCAACCTACCAGAATCCAGGGTCCAGGTAAGTGCTCAGTATAAAACCTGTAACTGAATCACTGCAGCCATAGTAAAATGTCTGGTTACATAATAGCAAGTTACTGGGCAAGGATTAATCTGGGAAAGATAACAATTTCATTCTGTCTAATGGAGGGGAGGGTGGGGGATTCTCATTTGGTTGAAAACAAAAGCTAGTAATGAACTGGGGGGGGGGGGGGGGATTGACCAGATGGGCTCAGTATCCCCTCCGGCATTTACAGGGTTAATCTCTATTGCAGACACAATGAGGATAACTGTGCAGGTTTTATTTACCAAGGAGCCCCAGGTGCCACATTTTAATTGCATTTTTCTCTCTCTCTCTCTAAATGTTTTTTAGGTGTGGTTCAAAAATCGCCGAGCAAAATGCCGCCAGCAACAGCAGCAACAGCAGAATGGTGGTCAGAACAAGGTACGGCCACCCAAAAAGAAGTCTTCTCCAGCCAGAGAGGTCAGCTCAGAAAGTGGTACCAGTGGGCAGTACACCCCTCCATGCAGCACCTCTGTGCCAGTCATCTCCAGCAGCACTGCCCCAGTGTCCATCTGGAGTCCAGCCTCCATATCCCCTCTGTCAGACCCTCTGTCCACCTCTTCATCCTGCATGCAGAGGTCCTACCCCATGACCTACACCCAAGCTTCAGGCTACAGCCAAGGATATGCAGGCTCAGCATCCTACTTTGGGGGCATGGACTGTGGATCTTATTTAACTCCTATGCACCACCAGCTGCCTGGACCTGGAGCTACTCTAAGCCCTATGGGAACCAATGCTGTGACCAGCCACCTCAACCAGTCCCCAGCTTCCTTGTCAAGCCAGGCCTATGGGGCTTCCAGCCTGGGCTTTAACACTCCAGCTGAGTGCTTGGATTACAAAGACCAAACAGCCTCCTGGAAGCTAAACTTCAATGCTGACTGCTTGGATTATAAAGACCAGACCTCATCATGGAAGTTCCAAGTCTTGTGAAGACCACCTTAGGCAAGTGGAGGCACTTTTTATGGAGACAAAGTCCTTTTGACATTCCAGGTCTAGTCAGGTCTTGGTGGACTTCAAGAAAAACAAACCATAAAAAAAAGGGGGGGGGAGGGGGATATAATAAATCGACCAGTCTTATATATCCCTTCCCTAAACTCTGGAGCTGATCTCAAGAAACTTCTTCCCATATTGTGGGAAAGGACCTATTTATCCAGTCATCCAAACCAGATACAGTTGTGATCATAGATCTTAGGGGAAGAAAATTAAGTTAAAAAAAATAAAGTTGGCTGAATTTTTTTTGAAACTAATCAAGAATCCCTTCCTATCTCAGGCAGTCATATTATGGATAATTAATATAAACTGGGGGGAGGGGGCAACAGAATCTGCACCAAAAGGTGTCCAGTGTTGGGCAACTCTTGGGTCAACCAATGGAGTGCTCCGGTTCTGGATTTTTGGAGGGGGTACAGCTCGTGACTGCTTGGCTGACACTCAGAACATTTCACGGGTTTGAGTGACTTGTGCTACTGATTTCTCATAGATGCACTACTTTTATTTAAAACAAACAAAAAAAATGTTTATAAGGCGTCAATATGTAGTTTTTAAAAGACAATCAGTGTGTGTCTTATAAATGGTAAATATGTGGTTTTTAATCTGTGCTAGATTTCAAAACTGTGATCTCCTGTATTGTATGCAACTGTGAACCCCCTCCCCCCCCCCACCCACCACCACCACCACCAGAAGGGGTTCCTCTGTGATTTAAGAATTATAATCTATTAAGTGAGATTTCTGCATTCAGAGGAAATCCTTGCCCTTTTATCATTCAAAATGTGTCTTTTACCAACGAGGAACTGCAGTGAAACTGTCCCAGAAGCGAGAACAGAGATTGGAGAAAGAAATCGAATGGACATTAGATCATTAGAGATCGATTTAAACAAGAGGAAAAAATTAAATAATAATAATAAAAGACTGGCTTTAAATTATACCTGATCTCTGTGCAATTCAACAACTCAATCAATTGGCTTCTAAGCTTTTGCATATGTGAACTCAAATATGCATTTATTACTTCCTCTTCTGGATCTGCAAAATGCTGTATAATTTATATTAAAAACGAATCTAGCACAACGATGTGTCTCCAGTTTGATTCCTATTGAAAAGTTTCAATTCTACCAATACCAGGTTATGCTTTTTGTAGACTCTCTATTCTAGAGGACTTTCAGTAGTTTATATATAGAATAATCATAATACAAAAGTTTCCATCATCTTTAAAAGCGAAAAATTGTCCTGTTTTAGGGGAATGTTTTTAAATAACTATGTTCGCTAAACTCCGAATTGTAGCAAATGAAAAAAACATTACACCCCTGTTACATGCAAAAAAAATATTTATTCACTAAAGCTCGAATTGTAAGCAAGTGTTTTCCTGTTTGTGTTGTCCATACCTGTCATGTAACTCACAGTGGGGTTAACCCTTCAACTCCCAGAATGAACTATTTTGTCATTCCAGCTGGCTGAAGGCAAGGTCCTGTTTGTTTTTAAATTACAGGTAGATTTATTACACGTATTCCCTGTCTTTCCTGTTTCTTATTTATTTTGCAGTGGGACCATTTTCACTGCAACAAAGAGATTTTTATTTTTTTTATTTTTTATTCTCTCTTTCCTCCACATTGAGGGAGGGAGAATCAGAAGTGAAGCAGAAATAATGTCTGAACAAAAGGACATTTTAGAAAGTTGCAAAGCCTATAATTTAAGGAGTTGAACATAAGGCGACCTTCACCAATCTTTTACCTTGTTTTTAAAGGAATTCAAAAGAACTATATTTTAAATGTTTGGGATTTTTCTCCCACTTCCAGTGAACATAAACAATTTAACATTTTATTACAAATCCCAAACACCTTCTCATTCAGTGTAAAATATTTAAACTTTTCTAAATTGTATATTAAGTTTTTTTTTTGTTTGTTTTGTTTTTTTAAGCTTTGTAACGTGTGTAGAACAAATATTTTTGTCATCTGTTAACAGCAACTATTCGACAAGTAAAGCTAGAAATCTGATGGTTTATAGTAATTAATGTAAATATAAACCACCCCCCCAAAAAAATAAATAATAATTAAAACTTAATACAAAAAACAGCTGCCTACATTTGGGTCGCTTCTATAAATCATTTAATATCTCCCTCCCCGTTTCATGACCCTATTTGGGGTTTAAATACACATTTCTTCCAAATCTTTCAATTGCCCTTTCAATGTAACTTGTTACTGTGTAAAATATTAAATACATGAACACGTTGCCAGAGCGAGTCCCGTTTGATCTCGTTCGAATTAGTGATTTAAAGGCTGATTTATTACTGAGATCCATTATAACTTTAAGTGACATAGTTCGAGATTTAATTTTGGTAACGGGACAAGGAATCTCCTACAAAAGGATCTTAAATCTCTGGGGCCACACAGACCCGGGTGGCTACAAGACCCCAGTACTTTTAAAATTCCAAATGTCTGGGGGGACACATGGATCCAACTGCAGAATTTAATAGAAAAGAGCAGGCAACGTTTCGGCTCAAACGGGAGGTTTTTTTTTTCCTCTGCCTTTTTTTCCTGTTTAAGCCGAAACGTTGCCTGCTCTTTTCTATTAAATTCTGCAGTTGGATCCATGTGTCCCCCGAGACATTTCCGTGTTTGTGTGTTTTTTTTTGTTTTTTGTTTACAGTTTAGGAATATAAATGTTAATTTCCCAATAGTTTTCTGGTGATACTTAGAAGTGAACTTGTAGTGAGATACTAAATTAAATCTTAATACTTCAGTGGGAGAAATATTTTATTAAACGTGTTAGACATTCTACATAATTTGCCCCTTGTACTAATCACACTTTACCAATAGGTTCCCTTTTTATTTATTTATTTTTCTTCACATAATGCCAAATCCCTTCTTCAAAGGGCTGTGGCTGTAGTGTCAGGGGTGGAAGCAGGTATTCGTTGTGGGCAGACAGTGAGGGCTGTGGCTGTAGTGTCAGGGATAGAAGCGGGTATCCATTGTGGGCAGACAGTGAGGGCTGTGGCTGTAGTGTCAGGGATAGAAGCGGGTATCCGTTGTGGGCAGACAGTGAGGGCTGTGGCTGTAGTGTCAGGGGTGGAAGCAGGTATCCGTTGTGGGCAGACGGTGAGGGCTGTGGCTGTAGTGTCAGGGGTGGAAGCAGGTATGCGTTGTGGGCAGACGGTGAGTGCTTTGGCTGTAGTGTCAGGGATAGAAGCGGGTATCCGTTGTGGGCAGACGGTGAGGGCTGTGGCTGTAGTGTCAGGGATAGAAGCGGGTATCTGTGGCTGTAGTGTCAGGGATAGAAGCATCCGTTGTGGGCAGACGGTGAGGGCTGTGGCTGTAGTGTCAGGGATAGAAGCGGGTATCCGTTGTGGGCAGACGGTGAGGGCTGTGGCTGTAGTGTCAGGGATAGAAGCGGGTATCCGTTGTGGGCAGACGGTGAGGGCTGTGGCTGTAGTGTCAGGGATAGAAGCGGGTATCCGTTGTGGGCAGACGGTGAGGGCTGTAGTGTCAGGGATAGAAGCGGTATCCGTTGTGGGCAGACGGTGAGGGCTGTAGTGTCAGGGATAGAAGCGGGTATCCGTTGTGGGCAGACGGTGAGGGCTGTGGCTGTAGTGTCAGGGATAGAAGCGGTATCCGTTGTGGGCAGACGGTGAGGGCTGTGGCTGTAGTGTCAGGGATAGAAGCAGGTATCCGTTGTGGGCAGACGGTGAGTGCTTTGGTGTAGTGTCAGGGATAGAAGCAGGTATCCGTTGTGGGCAGACAGTGAGGGCTGTGGCTGTAGTGTCAGGGATAGAAGCGGGTATCCGCTAGGCTGCAGACAGTGAGGGGCTGTAGTGTCAGGGATAGAAGCTGGTATCCTGCAGTGTCAGGGATAGAAGCGGGTATCCGTTGTGGGCAGACAGTGAGGGCTGTGGCTGTAGTGTCAGGGATAGAAGCGGGTATCCGTTGTGGGCAGACAGGGAGGGCTGTGGCTGTAGTGTCAGGGATAGAAGCGGGTATCCGTTGTGGGCAGACGGTGAGGGCTGTGGCTGTAGTGTCAGGGATAGAAGCGGGTATCTGTTGTGGGCAGACAGTGAGGGATGTGGCTGTAGTGTCAGGGATAGAAGCAGGTATCCGTTGTGGGCAGACAGTGAGGGCTGTGGCTGTAGTGTCAGGGATAGAAGCAGGTATCCGTTGTGGGCAGACAGTGAGGGATGTGGCTGTAGTGTCAGGGATAGAAGCAGGTATCCGTTGTGGGCAGACAGTGAGGGCTGTGGCTGTAGTGTCAGGGATAGAAGCGGGTATCCGTTGTGGGCAGACAGTGAGGGATGTGGCTGTAGTGTCAGGGATAGAAGCAGGTATCCGTTGTGGGCAGACAGTGAGGGCTGTGGCTGTAGTGTCAGGGATAGAAGCGGGTATCTGTTGTGGGCAGACAGTGAGGGATGTGGCTGTAGTGTCAGGGATAGAAGCAGGTATCCGTTGTGGGCAGACAGTGAGGGCTGTGGCTGTAGTGTCAGGGATAGAAGCGGGTATCTGTTGTGGTATCAGATGTTGGGATGTTCTGATCTGTTACTGCTATCAGGGCAGACAGTGAGTGACTCACTAATACTGTGAACTTGGGAGTGGGAGCAATGGTTCAATAAAAAGTAGCGTTTTGTGTTTTAAATTTAAAGTCTAAACTGAATTCCTATAATAGTCCGGGGATTTAGACAGAATCTGGAGGTCTGTATTTTACTCCGGTCCCACCAAGATCAGAACTTGGGCTAAAAGTAGAACCAGTTTAACTCTGCTGTATCCCATGAAATGTCTATTCTGAGGCTGAATCCTATTAAATAATGGATCATGTAAGACCAGGAAGCGGCTCAGAGCAGAGTGAGGGGGCCAGGAGCTTGGTAGAGCCCCCCCCCTTGTCTTAATTTAAGGGGGTCTTTACTGTCATTTGACACTAAGTAAGGTGTGAGAAAACGTCAATAGCAGTGGAGAGTTTGTTAGTACATACAATAGACAAGTCTTCTATAATGGCTTCTTAACAAGGACTTCATTAAATGTCACTTCCTTAATTTGACATGTGATGACCTGTCAAAGCATGTAGGGTGGTAGACATCACGTGTGTAATAGACATACTAAACATACATTAGTGTGTATATTATACAGTGTGTGTACATCTAGCGTGGGCTACTACATATACAATGTATGCACATTATATATATATATATAGAGAGAGAGAGAGAGAGAGAGAGAGAGACTACATATACAATGTATGCACATTACATATAGAGAGACTACATATACAATGTATGCACACATATATAGATATTACATATACAATGTATGTACATAGAGAGAGAGATACTATATATAATGCATGTATATATAGAGAGAGAGAGTGAGAGATACTACATATACAACGTATGCACACACACACATATATTTTTATATATATAGAGAGAGAGTGAGAGATACTACATATACAATGTATGCATACACACACACATATATATATATATAGAGAGAGAGAGATACTACATAAACAATGTACATATATAGAGATATTACAAATACAATGTATTTACATATATATATATATAAAGAGAGAGATAGACTACATATACAATGTATGCACACATATACAATATATAGATATTACATATACAATGTATGTACATATATATATATATATATATATATATATATAGAGAGAGAGAGAGAGAGAGAGAGATACTACATATACAACGTATGTGTGTATATATATATATATATTTATATATATATATATACATACATACACACACATCTAGCATGGGTTACTACATATACAATGTATGCACATAAATATATATATAGATATGACAGGCAACAGAGGGTTGTAGTCAATGGAGTATATTCAAAGCTTGGGCTTGTCACCAGTGGGGTACCTCAGGGATCTGTACTTGGACCCATTCTCTTTAATATTTTTATTAGTGATATTGCAGAAGTCTTGATGGTAAGGTATGTCTTTTTGCTGATGATACTAAGATATGTAACAGGGTTGATGTTCCAGGAGGGATAAGCCAAATGACAAATGATTTAGGTAAACTAGAAAAATGGTCAGAATTGTGGCAACTGACATTTAATGTGGATAAGTGCAAG